GGGGGGCAGGGATTGGGCGAGGTGGGGGCAAGGGGCAGCGGTGGAGGGGCAAGTCACTGACCCAGGTTTCTGCCCCCCAGCCCGACGTGGAAGTGGTGTCCCGGGAGCACGCGGGTCACATGATCACATGGACGGGGCCTGGCTTCGCCCGCGTGCGGGACGGGGCTGGCCTGTCCTTCCACATCGACAACATCCCCTACCCCATGGAGTACGACATCCTGATCCGCTACGAGCCCGAGGTGTGCGGGGCATGGAGGGGGGCAGGGCACCAGGCTGCCCCGGGGCGGGATGCCAACAGGGGAGGGGATGGCCGGGCTCCTGCAGGGCATGTGGGGCTGACGGGGGAGGGGACATCTAGGCACCGGGCTCCCCTGGTGTGGGGCTGATGGGGGAGGGGTGGCTGGGTGCCAGGCCGTCAAAGGGCATGGAGCTGATGGTAGGATTGCCACCTTTCTAATTGCTGGTAACCAAACTCCCAGCCCCACCCCCTGCCCCGCCTCTCCCCCCAAGGCCCCCCCCCCTCCCCCCCCCCCTCCCCCCCCCCAAGGCCCCACCCCGTCACTTGCTGGATTGTGTCCATCTCCCTTTCCTGCCCCCCACCCCCGAGCTGGGCTCCCTCTGCTCCGGGACGGGGTGGAGCTGCCGCTGCCTGCGTAGGGGGCGGCCCTGGCCGAGCAGGGGCTGGTGCATGCGGGTTAATGGCCCGGCGCCTCCCCCGCCCACGGTGACTGGACTTTGGGTGTCCAGTCAGTACATCCGACCGAACACTGCCAGGTCCCCTTTTCAACCAGACTTTCCGGTCAAAAATTGGGCACCTGGCAGCCCCAGCTGATGGGGGAGGGGCTCCCCTGGTGTGTGGGGCCCAGCCCCGAGACCACCTGGCGCAGAGTCCACACTCAGCGCCCAGGGGCCCACGTCGGGAGCAGGCTGCCCCGAGGAACGCTCCGGGGGCCCGTGCATGCTCTGGTCATCTCCCAGCCCAGGGCTCCTACCCCTGCCCGCACCTGAGCCCCCGCCTGCCCCCCATGTCATCCTTCATCCTGCCCAGGAACACGGGCCCGCCCCCTGGCAGTGCCCCATGCCCTCGGGGACCCACCTGGGGGGCGCCCCCTAACCTCTCTCCCTGCAGTCCACAGAGGACTGGGAGGCCATCGTCAGCGTCAGTGCCCAGGCGTTGCCCACGAGCCCTCGCTGTGGGAACGTGCTGCCCTCGGAGCAGAGGTACAAGGAGAGCCTGCCGCACACCGCGAGGTGAGAGCCCACGGGGGCTCCTGGGCGGACCCAGGGCCCTGCTTTCTCCGCCGCCCGTCTGGGGACCCTCGGGCGGCGCCAGTGCCCTCGCTGCCAGGCTGCCGGGCCCATGTCCCACGTGCTGCTGCCCGGGCTAGGAGCCAGCCCTGCCAAGGGGGCACACGGCCCAGACCCCAGCCATGCCCTGCGCAGCCCAGCCCAGCCTGCGCCAGCTGGTCCCGCAGCCTGGCAAACTGGCTCACCCCCCCCC